TGCTTTCTCTGATCTATTTTTTTTTTTTTTTTTTTTTTTTTTTTTTTGTGGGGACGGAGTTTCGCTCTCGTTACCCAGGCTGGAGTGCAATGGCGCGATCTCGGCTCACCACAACCTCCGCCTCCTGGGTTCAGGCAATTCTCCTGCCTCAGCCTCCTGAGTAGCTGGGATTACAGACACGCACCACCATGCCCAGCTAATTTTTTGTATTTTTTTAGTAGAGACGGGGTTTCACCGTGTTGACCAGGATGGTCTCGATCTCTTGACCTCGTGATCCACCCGCCTCGGCCTCCCAAAGTGCTGGGATTACAGGCTTGAGCCACCGCGCCCGGCCAGTCATCACGTTTTAATTTGCTTTCTCACATCTTTGAAGTGTCTTGTTCCCTGGTCATAGTGCAGCACTGTGATCTCGTTAGGGTAAGACACTACGGTTTATGGTTCTATGTTCTGTGCTTTATATTCTCAAGTCTGAGTCTCCCAATGCTCTCCTGGTAGCTCTTCTCTGCTGCAATGTGTGCATTTTTAAAAGCGGGAAGCAAACGTTGGTTGGCACCTGTCTCTAAGGCCCAGGTGCAAGGGATGCTCCAGGGTGACCTGCCTGCTCCCAGCAACTTCCTGCCCTTGCTGCCCCCACTGGCTCCTACCCCCACCCCCACCCTCTGCCTGTCATTCTGGAGGACAGAGTCTGTGTGGGGCTGCTTGAGGACCACCGTGCTGAAACGATGCCATTCCTGGCTTCCTGGGTGGTGCCGTCAGAAGGCAGCGGCCCTGACCAGGGTGGTTCCCACAGCCTCCTGGGGCCGCAGAGTCCGGCCTGGGAGTTGGCCTCCCAAGATGCCATGTGCATCTGAGAACCATGGAGACAAGCCCTCCGCACATCTCCGGTCGCGGTGTTATGTGGGTGGCTCCGAGGGCTGGAAGCTGAGGGGGAACAGACCTTGCTGCCCCACAGGAGCCTGGCCCTGCACTGCAGACGCACTTGGCCAGAGAGGGCCCCCAGCAGCACTCAGGCCAGCAGGGTTGGGTTCCCTTTAGCACGGAGCAGAAGGGTGCCAGTAACCGTGGAATTTCAGATGAACAGCACATAATGTTAGGTCAGTGTGCCACATATATATAAATATGCATTCTGCAATTTAGCCTGCTGCAAAGTCCACGTCGTTCATCTGAAAAGCCACGTGCCGCGGCCAGGCAGCCCTGACAGGCACTCAGCACACCGTGCGGGGGGCCTGTGTAGCCTCGGTGAGGCTGGCACAAATCCATCTGTTCCCTGTTCTCAGCGAGGACAACGTGCCAGACCCCAAGGACGTGAAGGAGAGGTTCGGCGGCAGCCTCGTGGCTGCGCTGAGCGTGTTCGGGCCGCGCTTCCTGGCATACTTTGGTTCCTTCGCCACTGTGGCATTGCTGTGGTTCGCCCACCACTCGCTCTTCCTGCACGTGCGCAAGGCCACGCAGGCCATGGGGCTGCTCAACACGTTCTCGCTGGCCTTCGTGGGTGGCCTCCCACTGGCCTACCAGCAGACCTCGGCCTTCGCCCGGCAGCCCCGCGATGAGCTGGAGCGCGTCCGCGTCAGCTGCGCCATCATCTTCCTGGCCAGCATCTTCCAGCTCGCCATCTGGACCACGGCGCTGCTGCACCAGGCAGAGACGCTGCAGCCCTCGGTGTGGTTCGGCGGCCAGGAGCACGTGCTCATGTTTGCCAAGCTGGCCCTGTACCCCTGCGCCAGCCTGCTGGCCTTCGCCTCCACCTGCCTGCTGAGCAGGTTCAGCGCAGGCATCTTCCATCTCACACAGATCGCCGTGCCCTGCGCCTTCCTGCTGCTGCGCCTGCTCGTGGGCCTGGCCCTGACCAGCCTGCGGTTCCTGCGGGGCCTAGCCTGGCCCCGACGTTCCCCACCGGCCCCCACGGGCCAGGACGACCCACAGGCCCAGCTCCTCCCTTCCCCCTGCTAACAGCCACAGGGCCCACTCCCAGCCACCACCAGATATGGACCCAGGACAGGACGCTGGGTGGGGGAAGCTGAGTTACGGGCAGGCCTCAGTGGTTCTCCTGTGGCCTGGTTTTATTTTCACTGTGAAATATGTTCTATCTCAGTCCTCAAATTGTTCTCCAGTTTCTGTAGAGTGAGGGGTTTCCCAGGAACTTGAAATGTGCCTTGTGGCATTTGCCTATCCACTCTCTCCAACACGAAGACACTGCCACACCCACCCACTGAGGGACTGCCCACTCCCAGCCCCCTTCACGACCTATACAGAGCTGCCCTGGGGGGGACAGTGCTAAGCCTTCCCCTCCCTTTCCCACCTTGGTGGTTGACACAAAGATGAGGAGACAGCGAGGCCCAGTCTGTATTTGTCCCAGATATAAATTACTGTTGCATTCAGGCAGCGATAAATACAGAGGGGCCCAGTGTGCAGGGCATAGGCTCGCTCACACAGGACAATCCCCTCACCACAGTTACACACCGAGACTTGCGAAGCAAAACTAGTCACACACAAGGGGCTGGTTTTGACGGTGGGACAGATGACGTAAACAGGTGCGTACACTGGAGGCCACAAGTGGCCTGACAATGCATGTCTGTGCAGTTTTGGCAGAAGCAGCGGGGAGGGGGGCGGCGCTGGGGGGTTAGTGGCACCAAGGGCTTGCCAGGAGGCTGCAGGCTGGGCCGGGCCACATACTCCTGGGGCCAAACCAGAGCCACTTCTGAGGTCAAGGCCACACCCAGGAAAGCCCTGGCCCAGAATAGGAGGCCCAGGCCAGCTGTGCCCCACAAGGGAAAGGGCGCGACCAGGACTCTGGGACCATTTCTCGTGGGGGGAGTCAGGAGGTTTCCCGCAGAGGCGGCATAATTTTTGGTCAGACTCCTCCCAGAGCTAGTGTGCCGTCTGAATCCTTGAGCACGTGGAAGCAGCTTTGTCTCTGGATGCACCCCAGTCTGGCCCAGACGCAGCCCCCTCCATTGAGCTGTCTGGGGGCATGGGAGCAGGGGCACTGCAGGAGCAGGATCTCCACATGCTGACGAGGGACAGGGCCGAGCACAGCAGCTCACACAGACATGAAACTACACATCAACGGCTTTCAAGCAGCGCGGAAAGTGCTAGCGTGGGGTCTGGGGCTGAAAGCCAGCTCCTCCACACGCATAGAGCTATTTACACCTCCAGCTCCTCTGCACCGCTGGGCCCTGCTTCTGGTCCCTTCTGCGTGCTAAGTGCCCACCCTGAGGGCTGAGGGGCAGATGCATGCTATGGTGCTGTCAGGGCGGCACCCAAGACTTGCCCTCCATGCGGACAGAGGTTCTCCTCCCCCAGCACAGGCACTAGGAAAGGGCAGCCGGGCACTGCCTACCCCTGCGGCTGCACTTGGGGTCCAAGCTGCCGTCTATAGATAACAAGGCCAGAAAACGAAGGCACCTTCTCCACTCCCCCAAGACACACGAGGAAGTCACCAGTCACCACCACCTGGCAGCCCGATAAACGCTGCCTGCCGGGGCTGCCGAGGGTGGCGAAGTGAGGCTAGAGGGGCTGTCAGCATGTGTGCTAGGACAGGGACATGCCAGGGAGCCTGCTGCTGTGAAGGACCAGCCAGGGGCACAGCCTGAGGGGCACAAAGCAAGGTCAGACCCACCTGGACGGCCTGCGTCCAGCACTGTCCAGCTCAAGGGGCTCAGTGGGGAGAGGTATGGAGGGATGGGTGCTCACCCTCCAAGAGAGGACTGGGCCCCCACAGGGCAGAGGGCATGCCAGCCAGAGCCCGTGCCCACCCGGGACGTGGGGACACACTGCCACCCGCACAGCAGTCTCCAGTGGGATGAAGGTGGTGACACCCATGTGTGGCACCAATGGGATGAGGGCTGGTCCCGCTCCAGGCCCAGGAAGGTCTGCAGTCAGGGCTGAAGCCAGGTCGGACCACGGGGCTGGCCACTGTGTGGACACAGCTGCCTCCAGACCACCTGAAAACACACCAGTGGGGGCAGAGACCGCAGGAGCCCCGGCCACCCCTACCTAGGATCGCCCTCAGGGGCAGGCGCGGCATCCACCCGGACATCCCTGGTGGTCCCGGCCCTCCTCGGCTTCTGCTTGGCCTTCCTCAGCATGTGGACCTGTCCCAGGACAGAGGGCAGAGGGCCAGGGTGACGTGGCCAACGGAGGAATGGTGTACTGGCAGCCCCCAGTCCTCGGACTGGGCAGCTGAAGCTATCTTCCATTTCATGGAAAGGGAAGGACCTGCCTGGCCGCACATGCGCCACCTGTGGCCCTGACCACCGGCACAGCCCTCCTGAGGCAGGCACCCTCCTGGAGCCAAGGAAGACCCTGGCCAGGGGCAGCAGACTATGCTCCACCCTCTGGGCACCACTGGTCACTCCCACAGCCCACCTGACCCAGCCCACCTCCCCTGTCTCTCCAGCCTCACCCCATGTACCTTAGGGCCTGCAGCTGAGATGATCATGTGTCCAGGGGCCTGGATCCAGGGCTCCCCGTCCACCTGCACCGGGGTGGCCTTGAGGAGCGTGACTCTGAAGTAGGAACCCTGGGCGATCCGGATTCCGGAGCGCAGCCCGCCCTGGACCTGGCCCTGGGGCAGGAGGCCAGCTGGGCTCAGTGGGGACCAGCGACACTGCCCCGGGCCCACCCACCCACCTGGCCAGTGGCTCACCATGTGCACGACGCCCGTCACACCCACCACCTCCAGCAGCCCATCATCCATGCGCGGCTTCTCAAACCTGGCGTCATTGTCGGAGCCCCACAAGTCGGCCCCCGAGCCCCAACTGCCACATAAGAGAGTGGACACAGAGGTGTCAGTGCAGGCCTGATAAGGGCTGAGCCCGCCCACAGCTCCGCCGGGCAGAGCCCCTCGGGAGCCCCCCAGGGGCACCTGGGGATGTTGATGAAGATGAGGCCCTCGATGCTGGGCAGTTCCACCTCCTGCCGCTCCACCTGCAGCCGGATCTCCTTGTGCAAGCCCCGAGAGTGGCTGATCTTCTGCAGCCCCACCCGCACGTACACACCCTTGTTGTGCAGCCTGCAGCACGGGACACGCCGCCATCACCAGGGAGCCCCACCCTCCCGAGACAGCCTCTGGCCCCTCTGCCTGTCCCCTGGGGAAACTGGGTGAACACCCTCCCAGGTGGTGGCCCCTGAGATTCTGGCACCTGCTGGGGAACCTGAGGGAACCAGGCAGCGGCCTCTGCGGCTCCAGTACCTGCTTGTGAACTTGCCAGGCTCCTCTTCCCGTGCCTGGTGGAAGTCCAGGCTCAGCTCCGCATCAATGCCAATGCCACAGTAGTTACTCATCTGCACGATCTGGGGACAGGCGTTCATCTCCCAGGACCCAGCAGCCCTCATTGGGCTCCCTGGGCTCCCCAACAGCTACTCTAGTTCTTTGCCTCCAGCCGGCAGGCAGACAAGGCAAGGGCCGCCCCAGCAACGAGCCCAGCACCCAGGAGGGCAGCGTGCCGGGTCCTGGGCAGCCTATGTCGCCAGCCGGCTGGCCACCATCCCCAGCAGTGGCCGACTACTGTGCCTCCCTCAGCTGTGGGTGCGTACACCCGTGTGTGGCTGGGAGGACGCCCACTGTGACACGTGTGGCGACGTCACATGCAGGAGCCTGAAGGACACCCCACACCAGGCCGCCCTGTACCTTGGGGGGCTCTGCGTCTGCCGTGCCGTTCTCTGCACCACCAGCCTCATGTGCATCCAGCAGGATGGTCCAGCGGTCCATGAGCACAGCATCAGCCTCGTCCACAGACAGCAGCACGGAGAAGGGGTCCTCACCGCTGTAGCCCGCCCCCCAGCGGAGGACTCGGCCAAGGTCGTTCCCTGGGACACAGATGCAGAGCGGCTGTCCACACCCGCCACCCATCAACAGGGCGCACACCCCACCATGGGGACAGACGCCAGCGCAGGCCTCAGTGAAAGCTAGGGCAGGAAGGGGTAGACCCTGAGGCCCCCTCCTCTGTGCATGGCTCACCCCACCTGTGCCCAAGGGCAAGATGGCCACAGAAGGCTCCGGGCAGGCCAGTCGGTGCCTCGTCTCCTCCAGGGCGCCGAGCACCCAGCCCACGGTGCCGTCGCCACCGCACACCAGCACCCGGAAGCAGGGCACCTGGGAGAACACGTGGAGCCTAGACAGACAGGAAATGTCCTCTAGCAGCCTCGGGGCACCCACCCAGGCTGCCCCTTGCTTTTCAGATGCCCTTCCTGGCCATGTGGGGGACTTCAAGGCCCCGGCGTGGGATCCCAGTGGAGCTCCCGCTGACCGAGACAGCTGTGGTACCCTCCTGGGGCCCTTCCCGCCCCCACTGCTGCTCAGTACCAGGGGTCCTACTGGACTCACCCAGGAAGAGGACCCCCGTTGGTCAGATCAAAGACCTGGTGGGGGTTCAGCAGCTTCCGGAAGCTGCAGAGCAGGTCTCGGCCCTTGAGGCCTCCACTCTTGGGGTTCACGAACACAAGGAGGGGGCGGCTGTCTGGGGGCAGCCTCGTGTGCTAACAGACAGGGGGCTGGGTTACCATGGGGACCCAAAGTGAGGTGTCCCCACTGCTGGAGGCTGCCAGGCAGCTCCTGGCCCCCAACCCTGAGCCTACCCAGCCTGGACCAGCCCCCATCCCAGGAAGGCACGGCCAGCACCCGCACGCATGAGGCCTCGCACATGAGCTGCACGGTCACCCCACCTCGTTGCTGGCTGCCTGGCGCTCCCAGCACAAAGGCCTCGGACCTGTCCACTGAACCGAGTGTGAACAGACCACGCCTGCCTGGGCCATGCAGCCTGTGAATTCAGGCTGGAAATGCACGTGGCACTCTCCCTGGCACAGCTTGAGACCGAGGCTGCCCCGGGGGGCCTCTGGTGCACACCTTTGGAGGAAGTGGCTCCTAGGCCCCCACCTGCCTAGACAGCAGCTGAGAAAAGCTCTAAACTCACAGGGTGGCACGCGTCGTCCCCTGGCCACAGGAAGAGCCCATCTCCCCACACAACCCCAGGAAGCAGTGCTCAGATCCAGACACAGCGGGCTCAGAGCTGGGGTCCCTACAACAAGAGTCTGGGCCCCCATAGAGAGGAAGGCTGGGCAAAGGAGACAGACAGGCTGGGTGCAGACACAGGGTGGGCGGCGGCGCAGGGGCCGGCCGTGGCTGGGGCAAGGACACACTCGGGGCTTCGAGACCCACTCGGCAGGCAGAGCCGCCTGTGGTCACCACTTACCACTCACCCCAGGGCAGGCAGCTGACGGGAGAGAGAAAGCGCGTGTCGGCCCCATACCTGGCTCCGCCCACAGAGCCAGTGGGCTGGGGAAGGGGTGCCGGCCCACACCCGGCTCCGCCCAGAGCGAGTGGGCTGGGGAAGGGGTGTCACCCCACACCTGGCTCCACCCACAGAGCAAGTGGGCTGGGGAAGGGGTGTCACCCCACACCTGGCTCCACCCACAGAGCGAGTGGGCTGGGGAAAGGGTGTCACGCCACACCTGGCTCCACCCACAGAGCGAGTGGGCTGGGGAAGGGGTGTCGGCCCACACCTGGCTCCACCCACAGAGCGAGTGGGCTG